ATGAAAATTTTAATTTTGACCACAACATATTGCTATAGAACATATGACGAAGATGATTTCAATCACTAAAGTATCATACTATTATCTCTTATTCAAATAATTATGATACAAATATTAAAATGCTTTGTTCATTTTAAGTTTTTAAATGAATATATATATATATAGGAAAGCATAACAAATTTTAATGTATATAATAATAATCTACAGCGATCTAGAGTTTATTTCCCGTTCACGACTAGTACTTACATATGCAATATCTTTTTCTGTTTGTTTATCATTACACTTTTAGATTATACTTTAGATAAAATTTAACCTGTGAATAAAGAACAACATGAGCAGTGTTCAAATAACATTCAATATTACTAGTCATAGACCTTCGTATGGTCCATGTGAAGTTCCACTTACCAGAATAGCACATTGTACACATCGGACAGTTAACTTAATAAAAATGCTACGTTCAGTATCCAATAATGGATCCACAATACATTTTAAGGGAAAAAAGCATAGTAGTTATGAGCAATTACCAGCTTTAAGTTGGTGGAATATTATACCTGATAAAGAGTCTATGCTTGGACATCCAACTCCTCATTTTAATACAGATCGTTCAAATACTTTCAAAGACAGTAATAGATATGTAGGATATTCTAGGTCAGGATTCGAGTTTTTTGTGAATGAATTCGCCATAAGTTAGTCTTCAACTCTGAAACGTTAGTCTTCAAATAGAACTAAGTGTGCTCTATCAGATCCATACCATCTTTGTGTAAATATTTCAAACCCTGGCCCACCATACACAAAGAACCATCGAAAAACAAGGCAAAAACTAGCAAAATTCAGAAAAGACCGTCGCCATTCGCCCAGACTTAGTCTCCAAGTACGAGAGACACATGAGTAGAGAGATCTCGATGAGCTCTATCTGATGGACACCTCTTGGAACATTATTAAGTATTTAATCATGCGGAAAATTGCTACTTGCTACCTAATTAGTCCAGTTATCATTTCCAGCCGTCAGAATTCACCTAGACTTAGTCTCCAACTATGAGACACACAACAACAGATAGATCTCGATGAGATCTATCCGATGGAAACATTTTTGACCATCTCCGAGTATTCAGCCATGCGGAAGATTGCCAGTTAGTGCCTGATTGATCAATTTTTCACTTTTTCACCATCACGATTCGTCCAGAAATAGTCTCCAACTATGAGACACAGATCGCCAGATAGATCTCGATGAGCTCTATCTGATGGACATCTCTTGGAGTATTACCAAGTATTCAATCATGAGGAAAATTGCTAATTAGTATCTAATTAGTCCTCTATCAGTTCCAGCCGTCAGGATTTACCTAGACTTAGTCTTCAAGTCCGAGGCAAACAACAACATATAGGTCTCGACGAACTCTATCTGATGATGTATATCTCGTACTTGGAGACTAATTCTGGACGAATCGGGATGGTCAAAAAGTGAAAAATTGATTAATCAGGTACTAACTGGCAATTTCCCGCATGGCTGAATACTCGAAGATGGTCCAAAATGTTTCCATCGGATAGATCTCACCGAGATCTATCTGTTGTTGTGTGTCTCATAGTTGGAGACTAAGTCTAGGTGAATTCTGACGGCTGGAAATGATAACTGGACTAATTAGGTAGTAAGTAGCAATTTTTCGCATGATTAAATACTTGATAATGCTCCAAGAGGTGTCCATCGGATAGAGCTCATCGAGATCTCTCTACTCGTGTGTCTCTCATACTTGGAGACTAAGTCTGGACGAATCGGGATGGCCAGAAACTGAAAAATGGACTAATTATGCGCTAATTAGCAATTTTACGCATGACTGAATACTCAGATATGGTCCAAAAGGTATGCATTAGATTGAGCTCGTCGAGATCTATCCGTTGATGTGTGTCTTGCACTTGGAGACTAATGCTGGGCGAATCGCGACGATCTTTTCTGGATTTTGTTAGTTTTTGCCTTGTTTTTCGATGGTTCTTTGTGTATGGTGGGCCAGGGTTTGAAATATTTACACAAAGATGGTATGGATCTGATAGAGCATACTTAGTTCTATTTGGATACTAACATTTCAGAGTTGGAGACTAACTTATGGCGAATCCATTCACAAAAAACTCGAATCCTGACCTAGAATATCCTACGTTACATTTACACATGAATATGCGCATACAACTATTTTTAACATCAACAAGAAACGTATTCCAGAAAAATATCCGGAATGTAAATTTCAACGAGATTCAGAAGTAAATGATCGAAATACAGCACTTTATTCCATTATTCCAGAAGATTTAGTTAATATTTATGATGATAATGATTTTTTATGGCGATGCTATCGTTGGGGTAATAATGAAAATCCGAATAAAATCAATTATAAATGGGATCATCCAGAGTTTGCAATTGTTGCTGGCAAAGATGGCTTTGATTTTACTGCTGCTCAAGGTTTAAAAATACACTTTGTTGATCATAAGAATGCACTTTGTGTAAAAATTAAATATTCATGTAATGAAATTTGTGACATGTGTTGCACAACAGAACAAGCATGTATAAAATTTTTACGCATTATACATAAAAATGGTATGATATTTTGAAAATTTTCAGCCTTTTTTTTTGAACAAGAAATTTGGAATGAATTGGTTTATATTAATAATACATTATACAAATGATCTCCGAATTTTCATCATAAAGAAGAATATGAACTAAGTCAAGATATGTATCAGAATAACACCAAATAGCATCTTTCTAAAAACTTTTTTGTTGAAATAAAAATTTTTTCATTTTATCTGTTTTCAGTTAAAACTGTTCACCATTTCTTTATGTTTAATTATTTTTTAATTAAATAATCGAGAATCTCTTTTAGGGTGTTGGTATGGAACTTGATATCTTTGTGAATCACACTCACGCCCACATCCTACACCAAGAAGGATTACAACCAATTGAATTCATAAAATAACAAATACAACTACAAAATAAGGATATGTCTGACCAGTACCTAGTTGAGATATCTGAGGAAACTTTTCGTTTAGTGGTGCATTAGTCGAAACTTGAGCACATATTGCCAAAGTTACAATGAATGTAACAATAGCAGTGAAGGGTAATATAATTAAAGACCAAAACAATATCAGTGGTCTGTCCAACTCTTTTCATATTCTTTTTGAAGAAAAGAATATATGTTCATTATGATTTGTTCCGAAAAAAAAATTTCTTTTATACAGAATTCATAGTGATTTAAATGTGCTATTATTTATATAATAACATAGAAATGCAGTAAAAATGATAGTACAATGATGCTCTATGTATCTTTTCTTATCAACTAACTTGATTCAAAGAAGATAAACTTTAATGGCAACATGATGATATCAATTTTATTGTTATCGTAAAATAATGATCTTTGAATTCATTCACAACTAACAATATTTTCTTTAGATATCATAGATTATAAATGATCGTACAAGGCATCCCTGAGAATCATCGCGTACGATTTCATGCGTATATTGTAGTTAAAAATATAGAATAGACTTATATCATTCAAAATCTGTCTATTTCTAGTTAGTTTCTACATTTCTTCATCTTTTATTTATCTTGAATACATATTAATATAAAAGAAAAACCATTCTGTTTATCAAAAGATAAAAAATAAAAGATGATTGCACCATCACTATTCATCATTTAATACCACAAAAATATCAGATTAATCGCTTTTAACTGATATTATTTCATCATTCAATTTTCCTAAATATAATTTGATGGTTAAAAAAAATAAAACGTTAACTAACTCTCTGGAATTTTCCAGAATTGCTCTATACTAATTAAAAAGAAAGTAAATAAATTTATCTATTTATTTATTTTTTTTTTGATTTTTACCCTTCTTTAACATAAACATTATCTAGTGAAACACAATTAACTATTTTACATTCATTTTCAATTCGACAATTTTTTCTAATAATAGTTTGTTTAACTGTCATTTTCTTTCCAATAACATGTCCATCACCGACAACACAATCAGAACTAATCTAGAATTATATATATATTACATTCTATCTCTATTTTTAATAAAAATAAAAGTTTTTATATTTAAATAGATAAGAGATATTTTACATCTATACTCCAACATTTGAAATTGTTATTTTAATTTGTACTATGTCAAATTCAGTATTAATAGAAGTATAAAAAGATTCTTTGAAATAAACAATACTTTACTTCAATCTGTTCTAATCGATCTTTAAATGTAATATCTTCATTGGTATATGATAAAATGAGTGATGAAGCCTTGAAAATACAAAAAAACAAATAGAGTAAGTGGGGGTAAATGTATAAAAAAAATCAGACGGGTTCAGTATATTAGCTATAACTTTTTTATTTTTCATTATTTCAAAAAATTTTCTTCACAAGTCATCTAGCTAACTCTTTTTTCTATCGATTGGTGAAATCCATTTTTCAAAATCTTGTGAGCAGAGCTATCTACGAGGTGTTTTCTGGCTGCGACTTTTCGATTATACATTTACCCCGTCGGGGGTAAATGTATAATCACGTTGACGTCAGTGGGGTAAATGTATAATTCCAGCTATTTTTGCTGGTGTCAGTAAAACTAAACTTTTGAGCGATTGGTACTTTATTTTTTTCTGATTTTTTCACCAATCGATAGTTCAAATTCTTCTCTATCGATCTATATTAATCTTAAAATTATAAGTCCTAAATTCAATGTTTTATAGAGCTCAGAAACAGAGCACTAAACGAAAAATTTTTATACAATTACCCCATGTGGGGTAATTGTATAATCGTCATTGCGCTTGTGGGGTAAATGTATAAACCCAGCTATTTTTGCTGGTGTCAGTAAAACTAAATTTTCAGGAGATTTCAAGTGATTTTTCAAGTTATTCAAGCATGAAAATTATTCAACTTTTGAAGCGCTATCTTCCTAAAGCTTTTTCACAACATTTTGAAAATAAGAAACATATTTTTTTAGCAAAAACCGTTAGATTTTGTCAAGAAAAACTAGTTAGAATCATTTGAAAGACATGTTTAGCTGTAAATGGGCGACACAATGTTCCAGAAGAATGTTAGTAAATATTTAAAATATAATTGGTTAGATTATTGAACGAACAGGAAAATAAAACATTGTCCTTTGTTACAAAACTTCGTGAACGTTCTATTTATTGTTTTATTTCGTTGAAATGCCTCGTACGTATGTTCGAAAAGGAAAATCTTATTCTACTGCTGATCTTCAAGGTGCATTAAATCTTATTCGGGATGGTAAATTAAGAGTCAAAGCTGCTCGTGAACAATATCATATTCCTGCTGCAACTATTTATTCACGTTTATCCGGTCTTCGCGGAGAAGGTAAACCAGGTGCTAAAACTATTTTGTCGACTGAAGAAGAAGAATTTTTAATACATGTTATCCATAAATACCAAGAATGGCAACAGCCATTAACTAGATCAGATCTTATTTCAATTGCACGTACGTATATGATTGAACTTAAGAAAAAAAATATCAATAATGATTCTTCATTACGTGAATGGTTTTTTTGCTTCCGACAACGATGGCAAAATGAGATAAAACTTGTTCAAGCTTATAAACTTGAAAATATACGATCAGTTTCATGTACTCAAACCGTAGTTGGTGAGAAGAGGGTTGTTTATTTTAAATATTCTTATTTGTAGTTTTTAGATCGTTGGTTTGACCATTTAGAGAAAGTTTTAACTAAGTTAAATTTATTTGATAGACCACAATCTATTTATAATGTTGATGAAACAGGTTTTGGGGATGACCCAGGCCGAAGACAGGTGATAATCAAAAGAAATTCTAAATATGGAACATGTACTCAAGGAGGTGCCGGTAAAACATATACCACTCTCATCATGTGTACATCGGCTTCAGGGAAGTAAGTCATTTCCTAAATTATTACTTTATATAATTTCGTTTCTTAGATTCTTACCACCTTATATTATATACCGTGCACAAAAATTATATGATTCGTGGATGCCAAAAATTAGTTGTCGAGGTACACGTTTCAATGCCACCCTATCTGGGTGGAGCGAAGAAATAACCTTCTTCGACTGGTTACGTCATCATTTCGTGCCAGCTGTTAAAAGGGTGAAGAAACCCATCTTACTGTTGATGGATGGACATCGTTCACATTTATCTACTCGGATCATCAAATATGCCATGGACAACAAAATACATTTAGAATGCTTTCCACCGCATACAACAACAATTCTTCAGCCACTCGACGTAGTAACACTTTCAAAGATCAAAGCAAGTTGGAGGAAGCTTCTCTCGAATCATTTCAAACAAACTAATTCTACACCACTTACTAAAGAAACGTTTTCACTTTTAGTAAGTTTTATATTGTTATTTTACTATTATATCATTTTGTTTTTTAGATTGCTGAATTATTTAAAAATCATCTATTACCAGCTCATTGTGCTGGTGGTTTTGCAAAAGCTGGTATCTATCCTTTCGATAAACGCGTTATTTCAAAAGAAAAACTCCTATCAGCAACAGCACCAGAATGTAATAAATCAATATTTGAATCAAATACAACTGATGATATTCGTGATACTTCATTAACAACTACAGTTGTTTCTCATTTACGACGAACATCATCATGTCCCAATTTTTGTTCAAGCGGTATAAAGCAATTATATTTATGAATATTTAAACCTTCTTCTCTAGATCTTCCATTAATTTCAATCCATCATACTCCATCAACTAGTAATAATCTTGGTACAAGTTCGGGAACAGTTACTTCTATTTCATCAAGTACGTTGGCAATCTATATTTCTCCTTATGTTCTGTGTTATTTTTAGCGGTTGTAGATAAGTCTATGTACTCAACTACAATGAATACAGCAACAGCCAACGCCCTGCTTCCAAGTAAGTTATGCACAAACAAATATTTGATTTAGTTTATGCAGTCAACATCACTATAAACAAACTATCGGTTCCACAAGAATCTTATTTTCAGTACAGCAATCATATAAACTATTCACAGCTATTTTCATTTTATAAATCAAAGATCTTTTTTCTAATGTTCTTCTTCATTAGTTTCTACTTCTGATCTTGATAATATATCATCAACAACTACTGCTATATCAACTTTCACATCTAATACAAGTATAACTGTTCCTTATGTAATCCTTAAAAACGTTTGTTTTAATATTAATAGGTACTTCTTCGATTTCTGCTGGAATGGAAGTACTTTATTCAAATCTTGATGAACCAGCATTACCTGGTAAAACTATCTTTCCAGAATTTATTATGAAATTATTGTTATATATTTTAGAATCCATTTATCTACAAACTTCACCATCACCAAACACTGTCTCATCCCATACAAATTCGACGTCAAGAAAAAGTATTTCTCAGAAATTTTAGGCGTTTTTTTATTTATATATCTGTTTTTTATAGATAATAATGATAATTCTTGGAATTTTGAAGGTGGAACACAAACTGGTAAAGTTGAAAATGCACAATCTTCATCAATATCAACTGCAAAATTAGGATTATCAAATCGTACAGCTCTTAATGCTATTACAGCTGCAATCAACAATCATATGAAACCTACTATTATGGCAATTAACAAAAGAAAAAAACAAGTTGATAGACCATATGGTGAAAGTATAACCAGTGTTGATGCTTATATAAAACTCAGAAATAAAGAAAATGCTCGAAAACGAAAATCAACAAAAGAAAGTGCAAAAGCAAACTCAAAAAAGAATAAAGAGTAGGTACTTTTCATTTCATGATAAACAAAAGCTTTATTTGCTTTAGTACACAAAATAAAAGGAAAAAATCTACCCATAATGAAATAGAAGAATCACTGGACACTAATATCGAAATTAACAATACTCAACGAACAACATTTACTAATGTACCATCTGATCTTAATCAACAACAAAGTGGGTTTTATTCATCCTATGGTTCATATGGAAATGTCACTAGTACTATCATAAACAACGCGTATACTCCACCTTCACACCAACGTCAACAAAGCACTTATTTCACAAACTATCAAACTTGTTACAAGTGTAGTAACATGATAATTTATAACATTGGTCAATTTTACCAATGCATTTCATGTACTCGTTTATGTTGCTTCACATGTTCCAACGCCAATTCTATTCCTAGTTCTTGCTATTATCGATGTGAATATTGTTCCTTAGAATCTGCTCTTCAAACGACACGTTGTTTATAATACTTCATTTTCTAATCATCATTTTCTGTTGTAAATGTTTTTTTTAAATATTCTATTGTAGTATAAAAGGTCTCTTCTCTTCTGAGATATATTTTTGGACACAAATTATAATAAAAAAAAAGTGAAATGTCTTTCAAATGATTCTAACTAGTTTTTCTTGACAAAATCTAACGGTTTTTGCTAAAAAAATATGTTTCTTATTTTCAAAATGTTGTGAAAAAGCTTTAGGAATATAGCG